GAACGATCATTGTTCTATCCTTATCTGACGTCTCGTCACCGAACTTTTTGTGGTGAACTTTGTCCCAAATTTGCCACTCCGGTCGTTCTACATAAATGTCAGCCCAGTAGTAAACTAAGTACAGCAAATCTTCAGTATCTTTGAAAAAACAAAGTCCTAACCAAACAAAGCAAAAAGATTAAGTCTCGTGCAAACAAACAAGTTTTGCAAGTTTGATTGAGGTAACGAGTCAGGTGACTTGATTCCGTCACTTTTCACATTGGGAACTCAGGATAAATTACAAAGAAAAAAACATCTCAGCTGCCGATGGTCTCTAAGGGGATGTTTTATGCTGATGTATACTGCTTCATCCACTTCAGAAGTCCTTCAAAGACTCACAGGAATGAACGCCCCTCCGGAGTAAATCTAGAATGGTGCTATTCAAGATAACACATGTACATGCTAACCAAATAATCCCCAGGGCTGTCTGAACCGGCATTAGGACGCTAATCTGCTCAGCGTGTATGAAACAACTGAGTGTGCTTCTGAAGACGCGGTTCCTTCGCCACTAAAGGAGATACACCCCGCCAAATATTAGCCCCGCCACCCAAAAAAGATTAGAAAAAAGAGGATATGAAATTTGTACTTTTAGTTTTTATTGAAGAGGGCGAAATTGGGACATGTAATATTAATTTGCATGAAAAAGTCCGTTTTTCAGTACCTTTCCCTCCAAAGGAAGGGTACGTCGGTAGGTCGGTGCGTGTCACATTGGCGTTCATTCTGCATCTTGTGGATGTGCCAAACAGATTCGATGGTTTGTGTATGATCAACCGTTGGAGTCTACAAAAGCCTTCAGGCGCAAACATCGCGAAGATTTTTCCAGTCAACAGCGGTCGTGTGGCTAATAGATAGTTCCTTTGAGTAGAATTTGATTTTGACAAATTTTTGCACCAGCAATAAAGGAATAGGATTACTGTGCTAAACTCCATCCTAGACCGCTCCAGCCAAGTTCTTTTTCGAAGACCGATTTCTTGCCGATATTGTCGGGCATTATATCTCCACCTGTCAGAAACAGTAGTAGTAGGCACAGAGGTGGACACAGAGTATCCTCAAGGGTAACTGCCAATACGCACACTAAACGTCCGGCAACCAAATAACGGAGAACATTGGCTCCAGATAGACAGTCTACCAATGAGGACCATATTCGTGGGAATCCCAGATGGGATCGTTTTGAATCACGCTACAAACAAACAGTCTGCCGTGGACCATTCAACCATATTTTTCGGAGTGCGGACAAAAGTTGGAGCAGGAAATCTCTCGCCGGCTTCTCCAGCCCTAAGCACAGAGGACAAAAGTTTATTTCAGAGGCAGGAGTAAACTAGTTACTTGATTTCAAAGATGATTACGGGCACCTAAAAGTGTAACAATTCGAGTGGCAACTCTAAAACGGCTAGCTTAGCACTTATGGTTGAATAGGGTCGGTTTATTTTGAAGATTTCAACATCCTGAATGTCTTTTTAACGATAACTTCGGAGAGTCTCTGTGGAACAATGTTATTTGATGTTTGGTATTGTTCGGAGGCCAGCCGTCCCTAATAACCGAACATCATATCATTTGGACGGATATTGTCACGTGCAGGACACGGGCCAATCGAAGACGTGCCCTGATTGGTCAGAATGCAAGCCAATCCGAGTCAAGCACCTTGACTCGACGGTTCTCGCCTCCTCTCGGACATTCTGGCACGACCTTGTGGAACACTCTGTGACTACCCTATAAATCCAGTTGAAGTAATTTTTCTTTGTCTCCATAAAGGGCAGTGTAGAGCTACTGTGCCTTTTGACATACCATAGTGGGCGGGGCAGGAAGCCAAGGGACCGATACAGAGTTGCACGATCGCTCACCAAGTCACAACGACTGGCGACGGGGTGAGATACTCGGGTCAGTCTCCCGCCAACACCAAGTCTACCATTACTTACTTACAAAATGCAGTAACTCGCGAACCGCAGCCATCTCTCAAGTCGCAAAGCAGTTAAACTGGATATGAACCCAAAAAGGTTTTTAGAAGGCTTTTATAAATACGTAGTTTTGGTCAAAGCTACTAATTCCATAGATTTCGTCGCGTTCAACTGCAAACAAACACGCTGCCACCATTAAGCTTACAATTTCAAAAATATGCTCAGAAGGTATAACTAAAGAATAAATAATGTTAGTTGCTTCGTTTCTCTGGTTCAGTCACGCAAGCAAAACTCAAAAAAAACAAGACAACTGGTAGGTACAACGTTTGTAACACCGAAGCTTCAGGGCATCCGGACAGGTGTTGACTCCATCAATCCAACTGGTCAATCACGTGACCAGGTACCGCGACATACAGCTGATGGCGAAAGAACTTACATAACATCGATTACATTTGATTACATTTGCTTGGGCATACTCGCATTCTCGTTGCTGTTGTTCGAAAAGTCATTCCTGTGTTCCTTCACGGCTATTCTAACCAGTCCGCCGAAAAATGGGTGAGTACAAGACTCATGCTGCGATATTAGTATATTTGCCGGTCCGGAGCTTAGAACATGACACAGCCAATGATACACATCACTAATGATAAAATGTGTAAGATACTCTATACCCAGCTACCATGTCACCCGAAGGAAGCAGGAGGGATGAGACACTGCGAGGTTGCTCAAGCCTAGACAGGAGCAGTCGAGATGCAAAGGTAGGGTCTGAACCCCCGACCTTCTGGTTAGTAAATTCAAGTTCTAACCACTGAGCCATCTCCCCCCTGCGTCGCTGATGGGATGAGGTGAGAACGAAGCACAAGTCCTTACTATGGTATGTTGACTCAACAGAATAACCTCACCAAAACATAGCAGATCTGTTCAAAAGAGAGTTAGGCGGATGCAGCTTCTATAAATACCGCAAATGCTTACATTCCTGAGGAACGTTAGTGACCGATTGCAGTTCTCTCGGTATATATTCTCTCAAAGCGGTGACACCAGTTCAACTGAGGAAGAACACGGTGTGTCCGAACGCACTCACAAATATACTGGTTCAGTTTTTCGACTAATAAACAAGGTGCTTTACTGCCACTTGTCTGATGTATTTGACAGAATCTAACCACAAGATGACGAGCAGTCGAGTTCTAACCACAAGAGGACGAGCAGTCGAGTCGTTCGCTCGCACTGTTCCCTAAATCAGGCGAGCTTTGTGTGTAATCCTCCGTGAAAACAGTAACTATCAGAATTTGCGACCGTTGTACCTTGGACAGCTACAACTAGGAATTTCTGGCTTGCGAGAGACCAAGGGAGAGAAAATTCAAACGCCCAATAAAGCGGTAGCGAAAATTTTCCGAGAATTCGAGGGTTGTCACAATGACAACTTTACCTGACATCACAGGATGTGAAAAAAACTCAAACAATTAAATTCAGGGGTCAACTGTTCACATCTAAATATTTGTTCTCAGGGTCTACTAGAAACTTTTGCTTTTTTAAGACTTCTGATATTCAAAAGTGTTTAACATTTGTCTTCCATCGAAGGAAGTCCCCATCCGAGTCTATTGAAGATTTTATCTGAAAACATCAGTGTGATCGTTTTGGATGTTTGATATCAAATGTTGGAGTGGAGTGGAATTTGTGGGTGTTTTCACTGTTAGATAATGATGCGTTTGATGATGCATACGTCGAATTCGGAGAGGATTAGGCCATCGGTCAGCTTTTCGAATAAATCTATGTTTTTACAATTAGTTTTGGCTATCAACAAAAAGTCACAACCATTCTTGCTGTGTCCCATCTAACGTTAACTTTTATCGTTCAAGCCTTTCTCCCAAACGAGATGTGCGTTAGTTCCGATGCCTTTTACCGTCCCGTTTCCTTTCAAATATCATCCAGTCGATGGAATGCTGACAGATTAGGCAAAGCACAGTGGGCATCATTTGCGTACAATTTAATGCTCAACCAGAACAGAAAACAGGAGTGTTCCTACTACTTTTTGAGTCTCAACGAACAAGGAGCCGGTCATGAGTTTTCTAAAAGTTTTCAGCAACCTATATGACTGATGTGTTCCGTCGAGGCCTGTATGAGGTTTTTAAAATGACAACAAAGCACTACTTATCAGTAAGCGTAATTGCTGCTCCTTGAAATTCATGTCCGGATGCCTCAGACACTCAAAGTTGAAAAAGTTGCCCTGCTGAATATTCAGTCCAAATTTCAACCTGAATTCCCTTTTTCCCATGGTAAATGAAGGCCTTCGCTGCGGAGTTACTTAATAGAAAATGCCAACTGACCAGTTACAGACTATTGGACAGGAAAGCAAAAATCTCATATGCATCATAATTACAAAAACTGAACATCCATCTTCTCTTGAACGCGTCTTCCTGAACTTTCCTAGATATTCATTCAGTGTTGCTCAAGTCCGAGCAAATGCCACAAAGTGACTCCACAAATCCGCAATAGATATCCCTTTTCAAGCGAATTTACAAGAAAACATACTACTCGCATGCTTTCCCCATCAGTAGTATCACCGTTACACAGGTAGCTTGATTTTCCATCCGGTCGAAGGTAGACTACCATGAGGTCCGTTTTCTGTGAGACGGCTTGAGCGCGGAAACACGTGACTTGAGGGAAACAGTACTATTGTGCGCTCACTTATGTGTGCCGGACTTTGCTCGATTACTAATCACTGATGAGTCAGCAGACGTACAGGAACGCTAGACATGAACAATCCCTCACTACGCAATGAAACCTCCTTGCTGTCGTCTCCAGGTTGAAAAAATCTCTGTAAACCTTATTCTTTCAGAGCTAGAAGCGCAGAATTCACTGACCTATTGATACATGCTGAGGATTACTCAGTACGGAAAACGGAAACAGTATTAGTCCCAGAGACAGTTAGTTATGCTCACCAAAGTCCAACATACAAGTACGTTTTAAGGAAGATACCACTTTGGCCTCATTGGATCGCCGTTGGAGGTGTCGGGCAAACCAATCACATCGTTGAACACGTTCGTCTGTTCACAAATTAAAAATTCAGATATGTCCAGCGTACTCCGGTGGAGTTGCTGTGATACGCTGGCCTTGAACGTCAGGTCTGCAGATTTCAAACGCCGGCAAGGCAAAGGATACGCGTTGCAGGTATGCTCTAGTGAGGACAAAACACGAGTCCAGTGCTTCCTCTCCTGGGTGTAAACTTTCCAGAATGAATTGCACTCGGACAAGAGGACAAATGTTCAAGCGAGAGTCATGTGAACATGCAAGATATTCGCTTTGGTGTGCAACTACTTACGGAGTCCACTGGTCGACATGGACTTATGTGAGTGAAACAGAGGACTTGACTATCATGATAAAAAAAGACGAAAATTAGCGAATCTATTCCGATCTTTTCATCCATTTGTCATTGTGCAGCCATTCCTGTTAGCAATCTATGCATTTCGAAACCCAGTGCTGGCAACATTTTGAGTAAAATGGATAAATATGGATAAACAAGCTTGATTACTTGCCTTTAACGTCCCACAAACCACGCAAAATGTTGGACCAATTAGGAAAAAAAAATCACGAACGAGAGTTTCTCGCTGACCCAACCTGATTGGTACATATCGTGTGGTTACCCACCGAAAAAAATCGCCACAGGTTCTCCTCGCTACTTCTAAAATGAATCAAACTATGGTTGAACTTGCGCATTCAAAACTGGCTTTTGTTTTTTTTTCCGAAAGGCCGACATTTAAGATACTTTGTTCAGTTGTACTGCGCTTGTAGTTCGACTGGTAACAAGCCGATATTGAATAGTTTCGCTCTACGTATTGATTCATATCGTAGTTCAGCTATACTAATTTATAAGGTATCCAGTTTGTACTTGTTAGACTACTATGAAAAATTGCGGGAAAAGTGCAGTGCTAACTGATGGATCAAGGTCATATTTGGTCTTCTTTTGAGAAAAATCACGGACAGTCTTTCCGCAGATACCAGAAAAGTGACACTGAAAAAAAACTTGGAATGAATAAACTGGGTCATTTTTGGAGTTCGCGATGAGTTCTCGTCTTCGAATGTCAAGTTCTAAATTCTTACACGATAAAAAATTCAAAGTGAGCAAGATCGAAACAATGCCTTGTAGTGCCACTTAAAAGGACGTAGTAAACAAGGTTCGTTTCCTTTGATTACCTGCATTTTCAAACCCAAAGTTACCGTTTTTGCGATTGTTTTTCTCGCTTTTAGTTGTGCCTTACCGCAACGCGACAATCGAGCAACTTTTCCCGGCCACCGTCGGACTGCATTCTAGGACGAAGCAGTCAACCGATCACTATTGATTCCCCAGACAGTGTCAAACTTTCCGTGCCGGTAGAGGGATCCTCTTGGCTGGTAAGCTGATTTCACCAGTGACTGATTATGTTCTGTTATCTGTCGTTTGACAGGCAAGTGCTTGGCTGCTCTCATGTGGATATGCGCAGAGTAATGTCATTTTTGGGGAACGGGTACGTACGAGATTTCTGCAGTTTACAGTGATCCTAAATGTTGGATCACTGTCGGTTCCAAGTGCATGAATCTCTGCGTTAGTTCATCAGATCGTGTAATGCTGATTGACCAGTTTTGTGCCCAAAAGTCACACAATTGGCATTGGAAATTACTGTACTTAGGAGACCGTGTGATCTTTCTTGTAAAACTTCAACGGGAATCCAATGGTCCGCCACGCTGGACAACTTCAAAATCGATTATTTGGAATTCGAAGAAAATAAACGGGAAAATCCCTCACAGCTGGATGTGAACGATATTCATCCAAAGTTACTGGCGAAATTATACGTGTGTTTATCTTCAAAATCTCCACAAAAGCGAAGAACATCGAGGTTATTCGCACTAAGGACATTTGCTTACAAGCCGCGGATTCGCGTGGTGAATTCTTTCCGCTGAATTGGATTTTTTGCACGTTCCGCTAAACATATAGACCAGAGTGATATTTATTGCGTAAATGAACCGCGGGTTGTAAATTTAGCTGGCTTTTACCGACAAAACTAGTCTTAATTTGGCCTTTTTGGTTAGTCGGTAACCGGATGTCCGGCAAATTGCACCTTATGCTGCGTCTTTGGTTGATATTTAGTCTATTGATGACTTCCTCTGCGCTTTCTGCTTAGTTTGTCTTTGTAAGAGTGCTAAATGTACCCCGAGGAACTGTTTGTAAAAGTCAGTGGTTAACGGCCAACTCCTCACGTGTTTGGAAGAGTAGAACCGAGTGTTTGGATCACTGATTTGGATACTATGCTGGAAAACAAAACTGAACGCTTTATTCACTGATGTGGGTCCCTAAGGTAGTATGAGATGGCTCAGAGATGGCTCAGTGGTTAGAGGGCGAAGTTACTGACCGTACGGTCAGTGGTTCCCAACCAAACCCGGCATCGCGACAGCTAGAATGGGGAACATGGAAGTATCCAAGCCTCAGTGATTCTTTCAAGTAGTAGAATAGATAGACAGGAACTGGAACGATGATACAGCTGAGCGATTATAATGAGAATCCCTCATCCAGGACGCCGTATGCAATCCAGTTTGTTCTGCAACATAACTCTACTCTACCGGTAAAATTTCCCACCCGGGAAAACGTCAGCCTGCATAAATTATCATTCTGGCTTGGGCGGAATGATCACCGTTGAATTGAATGGAAATTGCACCAAATTTCGCTAGTCAAGCAAGGAGAAATTAGTGTAGTAATATAATTCATCCAAAAACAGTAGATAAACGAAACGTGCTAATCTGGTTGGGACTGAGCGCAGACTACCCGTTTTTTTCAGGCGAAGCTACCTCGCCTGCTCCACCGAAAATTCTTCCCATATCGTATGCCTTGATGAGGTGGAAGAAATCAATTGGAAAGTTTCATTTCGATCCGGGATGTGTCTTTAAAAAGATGTAACCGAAGACAGTGATTTGGGACTTATATACAAGCGAATGAATCTCCATAAACCAGGGGTCCTTCCACACCGGGATAGACTTGGGGAATCTAGTATTGCACACTATTTTCCTGGCGTTTGCATTCGTTTACTGGAGCGCGAATTTACTGACCGGAAGGTCCGTGGTTTGCACCCGACCCCACCCCTTCGACTTCCCCTGTCTAGGCTTGGGCGACCTTGTAGTATCCCAGTCCTCGTGCCTCCGTGTGGCATGGCAGTTAGGCACCAAAAGGGTACTAAAGCTGAACAATTTATTTATTTAATGCTGTGTGTTATCAAATTCGTTCAACGAAAATGTTATGTTCGGGACACTCCACCTGGAAACCCCGAAGGTTATACAAAAATAGGCTTTCTGGAACGCATCGGACGATATAGTCCAACAGCTCCCCTGCTTTACAGCCTCTTAATAAGCCTGAGGAACGAATATCTCGCGATTATATATCCTGAAACTGTGCTCTTTTAGGTTGCCACGAGATGTGCACTCTGAACAAACTGTTACTAAATCTTAGGCATTTCATAGAAGGAACATGTGCGAATCTTCTAGACCTACGCCGATAGAAAATCTGATCTAAAATGAAGCATTCGCAGTATGTTCATGAAAGCCGTTATTGTGCTGTCGAAAAACCTTGTACTAGTGCTGAGTTTGCCTTGGTCACGTGAGAAGAATCGACCAACCAAGTAGCTCAACAGTACTCTAAACTGTCTCACGTCACCAACTAGATGCGTTGTGGGTTGCTTACTTCATTATTCACCCCAAGTTTACTGGCCTGACGATGAGACCTGAAGACCTACAAATTGCATTATTGTGTTCTTGTTCACACTTGGAATGTCCCACACACCAGTGAAGTAAAAACTATCATATTAGCGGTCATGTTTATTCATTTAAAGAAAAATATTCCATGAAGTGACAATTCTACAGATTGAACCTAAATACAAACTGCTCCCGGGGCTAAAATAACTGTTCCACCTGAGCTCTACCTGAACCCGTAAATGAGTATAAATGACGAATAAGCGAGTTCGGTTAACTTATTTGTAACCAGAGTTAAGATTGAAGTGAACGGTCATCCTAAACCACACCTCTTCACAGACAAATTTAAATTTTCTCGGAAAGAAGATACACGACAAAAAAGAAATTGAAAATGAATAGGTTCATAATTCACTTATCAACTGTTGGTAGTTTGAGGAGATTTGGGATTTTTGTGGGATTTCGTCCTGTAAGTGAAGCCAATCTATGCTGAAAAGCATATAAGCGTATAAGCTGAGACATTCCAGTGCGATCTAAATTTCTCTAATAACTTTAGATGAGATTCATGCACCCGTCCAGAAAGATGTTGGTAAAATACACCTTTTCTTATGTCATTCTGAATGTTGCAGAAAGGAGAATCCAGATCTTGCAAGGTGCCCTACGGGGGACATTTTAATAACCAATAATCTATTTTTCGAAATTTACATGCAGATGAAAAATTACAGTTTTCGAAATTTACAGACAGCTGTCATCGTGCACATAGTAGTATTGTTAGACAATGACGCTCCAGTATCTCCCACACATATTCAGCTGCTATCGTTGTTTTTTTTCACACGGACACTTTCACATCTGTTTTCAGATGGAATTCGATGGAATCTTACGGATTGTAAAAGAATATAAAAATAAATCAAGTGAGTTACACCACAGCATATTTTTTGCTAGTGTACTTTTCGAGCGCCTCCTCGCTGTGACATTTATGCTTGACATTTACGCTACTTGATAATTTTTAGTAGATACAATGTAGTCGTAATTTTGATGCGCCCTAGGAGTGGGAACCTAGATCCATACCAAACTGGATTTGACGGGTGACTCATCTGGGACCCAACTGAATCTCTCTTTTATGATGTCTCAGTAGCGTTTGCTATCGTTGTGCCAAGTTTGACAATCGACTCTAAGCAGATTGCAGACGGTCGGTGGAAATCGAACGTTCCGACGATACCGTAGCGCGCTACTGTTTCGGAAACTAACACCCTCGCCGATTTCGTAACGTTGTTACTAGTTCCGTCAGCAAGATTAGCTCACACAGATCATCAAACAAGTATTCTGTCTTCAACTAGTGAAAAAGCAACGGCATGTGGCATCCTATTATATATTTAATTTCTTGGGGGAAACTTTAACAAAGTTCGTTAAACGGCGCCGTCCCCAAGGTTGTGGTAAATTACTTTTCTGGAACATGAAATTTTTAACACAGAGGTTGCTTCGTCTCCTTGTACTTGGCTTTGGATAAGAGATCACGTAAACTAAAGTGAGTTTCGACACAACTTCACAACAGGTAGACCAGTTCATCTAAAAGTTGACCGGCTTTGATGGTAACCTCTTCTTTCAATAGTACAATACATTTTGTTTGATTTTATCATCGGATTTACGCACAGGGCATACACAAACTCACACTTGAGCTGTTTGGCACAGCGCACCAGTTGCGACACAGCTAAAGACTGATGAATAATACTACAGGGAATTCTTTTTTCTGAGTGAAGTTCACTCAGTCACTCACTTCTAGACTGAAAAGTGGTAGTTTGCTGCACAAATCAATAAAGCTTCCAAGAACTCAAGTGTTAACGATTGAGTGCGTTGTGTTAAACTGAAAAACACTGAGTTGATGCTGTAAAGCAGCTCTAATCTGTCCATCAAAAGAAGAATTGCTCTGCTACGAAGGTTTCAGCCAATTCGCCACAATTGAAATCCCTCATAGCTGCAAGTGAGAGGGAGAACTTCGCCGTTCAGAAGGCACATGGGATTGCTTTGTGTGCCATGACTGTGCGTGTCATTTGCGTAACCGTTCCAAAGGTTGCTTGCTTTTTTATCTTCTCTGGCTTGTCAGAATGCTGGCCTTGCATGGCAGCTGAGGTATTCCAAAGTTTGTGAGTCGACAGACTGGTACAAGCACCCGTTGAGTCCCTCAGAAACCTTTACAGTGTGGTGTTAAACACATACGAAACACACAAAGGAAACTACTCACAAGGTTGTTGAAAACTCTTCGACAGTCCACGCCCGGTTTCGCTCTTCTTCAGGCTCATTAGGTAGGCGCAGTCCCCGAGTTTCCGTCAACCTTATGTTCTACTTGAACCCAAATTGGACTGTTTTCGAGAAATTGCAAATCAATTGCAAATCAATTTGATTTTCACGAGAGGCTCAACTGAATCTCTCGTCTATGATGTTCTACAACTGAATAGGCTGCACACAGGCCGCCTCATGATTCAGTTGACACGATATTCGAGATATCGCAGCATACACGCAACTGGCTAAGGACCCAGAAAGTGGAACGGCCAAATTGACGGATAGAAAGGGTATCCAAGATTCGTAGAATCAGTTCAGGATCGGATCTGGCCATGATTACATTACACATGAGCCCATCTAGAACTTTGATTCCGAAAGTACGGAGCCAAGAGTGCTTGGGTTATAAACGCAGGTGGTTTAATCCTGTTTGATACTGAATCTGCAAGGACATGACTTTGAGCAAATTTAAGACGGGACGGAATAACTGGGACTCACACATTAGCAGGATATGGAATAGCCAACAAAGACGATCATTTGAAATTTCATTTGAAATTTCACGTAGTTGTGCTTTATCAGGTCGGAGCCACCCCTAAGTGTAGAGACAATTCGTCCGCTAACGCGGACTCAACCGAATCCGCCAAATTCTTTGAGGCACACTTAGCGGAAGAATATCGTGGACAAAAAGGTTAGTTAAATTTTACTTGAGTCTCCTTCTGCCATCAAGTTCGCTTGCAATACCTGACGTCGTCCCTGTAAGTCTGACGAACGTTCAAAGACCGGAGCTGTCGTCCGAACCTTAAGAAGGACAGAAAAGGTTGCTCCCGGCGCGGCGCTTTCACCGAATTCATAAGAATTGACAGCTACGACTAACAAGCTTGTGCCAGCGATAGCCAGTGACTAGGTTGCCTGCATACTGTTGTTCCTAAGTAGTGTATTGCAAATGAATGATTTGCACATGAGTGTGTTTCTCTCAAAAAGTCCCAATTGGGTCCAGCAACCTTGTGAGTAGTTTCCTTTATGAAAATATACTGCGATATCTCGAATATCGTGCCAACTGAATCATGAGGCGGCCTGTGTGCAGCCTATTCAGTTGCAGAACATCATAGACGAGAGATTCAGTTGAGCCTGTCGTGAAAACCAAATTGATTTGCAAATGAGTGTATTTCTCCAATTCGGGTTCAAGTAGAACATAAGGTTGACGGAAACTCGGGGACTGCGCCTACCCGATGAGCCCGAAGAAGAGCGAAACCGGTCGTGGGCTTTTGAAGAGTTTTCAGCAACCTTGTGAGTAGTTTCCTTTATGACCAGTTTCTTAACTATCCTTTCATGACCACGTGGCCACTATGAATGGTTTCTGTTATGAGTGATGACAAAACTGCTCATTTCATTCGATACTCAACCGAAGTCAGCATAAACACAAAAGTATTCACCGGAAAAATTCGGTATCCCGCAACCGATATTCACACAAGACGAACTTTGTTGCAACAATCTGAGGTTCCCAAGGAGATATTTTCAAAAATCTATAGATTTAGAATTATCTGCATACAATGTCACTGTATGCATTGGAATATAAAACTTTCACTGTTTTCATTGGCTTCAAGAATTAAATTGGAACTAGCGTTTCGTCTGTCTTTCTTTCGTGACATCCATTTCAGGGGTTGGTTTTTCGGTAATGTGTGCCACATAAGTAAGCAGTAATCATTCACCCATAAGGCTAATTTGGTGTTCGAGTGACAGGATTTACAGCTCACGGTGAAATCACCCGTTGCTATCATGTAAACACGCCAACAACTGCGTCCTTACCAACATGGGAGGGGTCATCTCTTGCCGTCTCAGAGAAATGATTCATGCTCGCCTTGTCCGGTCATTCTTGGTGTGAAAAATGTGCACTTTTATGAGCCGTTTGACTGATGTGACGGAAAGCCGGATTCATCTCGTCACATTAGGTCACCGATCTGTAGAAAAATATCGGTGTGTATTGAAGAATTAAACCAGACTGCCTGGATATTCTGAAGTCTGTGAATATGCGTGAACTACACTCGTATGTAAATTTGGCTAGTGCGTACCAGACACTCACCTGGGTCTTCAAAGAGTTTGCAGCAAAATTACAAGTCGTATACTGCATCAGCGAATATCGTTCACAATCCATAATACTTATTCATAGGAGACTTCAAAAAATTCGAAAGTATTCCTGAGTGATAAGATAATTTGAAAATTACACAGTCTTCTTGATGAACAAATCAACAAAAGTAAAGTGGACCATAACACAACTAACCTACTAACAGGTGGACAGGAAAGCGCCTACCCGATGAGCCCCAATAAGGGCAAAACCGGTCGTGAGCTGTCGATGAATTTTCAGCAACCTTATGAGTAGTACATCACGACTATACAAGTATAACTTCACTTATCAGTCACAGTACGGGAGATCTAAGTAAACGCAAGTGCACCCTGATAGCTCACAATCAATGGTGGGACGTTTGCAAATCGGTTACCAGGCTTGAGACGTAGGCCAACCACATGAAGATGGTACCTCTTGGTCATCAGGGAGAGAGAAAAGTCATTCCCCCCGAAGAGTTAATATGTCCCTTTTTCGGGGGCGATCACTCTCGCTACACAATGGGCGAAACCACGGCCATAATACTTAAGGATAGAGTGCCCACTAAAATGTTGTCAGCCCGATTTCTGTGGGTGTAGGACGCCATATTGTTCGGATACGTACAACGCGAAACCAGCCGACGCACACCAGTCCGGTTGGTGTAGCCCATATTGTTTATCTGGATGTATTTGAGTACAAGGCCTTGAAGATCTTTGGCACAGCATTACGAAGCAACCGGTTTCCACTCGGTTATTAGGTTGCCAGCAACTTTTGTGCTTGTGAGCGATGTCTGAGGATCACTAAAAGACATTCCATTTGACAATTCCCTTCATAGAATACGCAAGGACCCAATTTCTTATCTCTCAGTGAATCTCACCAGATTCTCCGACGGCGTTGGACATCAAACCAGTCCAAACGTTTGAACATAAATCACACTCGCAATTACCACAGTAGTTTTTATGATTCGGAAGCAAGGAATGTCACATGGATGACAAAGTGGCAACGAATCACCGTTTTTTTGTTCTGAGCGCACATTTATCACCCAATATTTTACGGTAGCCAAGAGGAAAGGTCACTCGACAAAAAAAGAAAGGAAATAAATGTGCTAGTTGACATTGGGTTGTACGGCATTCCCACTCAAAAGATTAAAATAGAAAGCTAGCTGTGAAATGTTCCATAGTCGGGTGGCCGTTCTGTCTGTATCCGTAACTAGCAAATGAAGTGCGAATTCTCTTCGTGCCGAACAGATTCTACCTCGGCAACAGCAAACAGGCGTGTTCCTACCATCTTCGGGCTGTGGTTCATCGCCTGAAAGTCCTTCCGGAGTGGAATGCTCGTAGAGCATTGTGTAGCCCCAAAAAAAACCCTAAATTGGCCTATTTCTCTCCGATTCCAGGTCATCCTGGAACAGAACATCTAGTGCAAAAAGAAATGGGCTGAAAATTTAAAAAGAAGGTTTACCACTGCCATTCCACATCAAGGATAGGAGTAACCCAAGATAGAAAAGAACGAAATGGTTTGGTTAGGCAATAGTTTACACTACTTCTTGAGGAACCTCACAGGGAGGGCAGCGCAACACAAGGGGTGATACAGACAAATCAACTACGAAGAGTTCCATCCAAAACTTGTTAGCTGGGAAGAAGAGAACCTTCAGCAAAGATTTTATCTCTTGGTGACCAAAACCATGGAAGAGGCACCATATAACCCATCGAAGAAGAGGCACCCAATACTGTTGCATAAAGAATTAAAAGTAAGTAGTATTCGGTGTCAGTAATCAAGGAGTTTTTTTATCGAAAGGAAAGCTCGATGACGCATAATCTCTCAACGACCTGGAAAGACTCAACAGAATCCAGAAAAGTAGGAAAGTAATAGCTGTATTTGGTCCCTCTGCAACCAAACGGGATGGCAACGTATGGAGGGGCCTCTAGTTTGTTTCTACAGTGTATACTACAGTGTTTTACAGACGCGACTAAGGAGTTATCTAACGTGATGTTTCGCTTCATAGGGCAGTCTTCGTTGAACGTTGTAGATTACTAAAAAAGCGAGTCAAACAAATCCAAATGTGTGTGTTAGACAACATACCTTCAGCTATTCGGAAGGAAGCTTCCACAGACTGTTAGTTGCCTTCGAGTCTCTGATTGGATGATAGAAAATCCAATACCGGCTTTACGGACTCACATCTGGAATGTGTTCCACTTAAATCATCATAATTGGAAACTATAAAGAGGAAAAAAATTTCCTGGCCGGTAGACGTACGTTTGCTATTTCACTAGTCACAACAGGTGATGGTCAATTACTTTTCATTGGTTATTGTCTGTTGGACAATTTTTTCAAAAGTTGGTTAAATACTTTGAACAGGTTTTTAGGGAATTTTCAAGCCACTGGACAACCTGTTGCATCTCCCGTATTAACAGACAAACCGGCAATTCAGTGCCGAATGTGTGCAGTATCTACTAGAAATTAATCAGTAGTTTGAAACTGCTTTGATTTTTCATTTGAACAGCTTTGAATTGAGTAAAATATAAAGATGATTTATAGGTGGAATGTAAAAGTCCCGCTTCTCGAACACAAGCGGAACCAAATTTCCTTGAGCCCGTGGTTCACAATTTAAAAGGTCCTCTTCTAAACAGTTAGTTTCTCCAAGCTGTTTAGTCCCCAAATTCTGAGGTTCGTATGGGTGGACAGTTTGAAGCCGAAACTACAACTGATACAATGGAAGGATTAGAGTTCAGATTAAAAAATGATGGAATTTTTCTTCTCCCTATCATCAGGAAGTGTGCTTGCAGAATCCAGGTGGACGGAGAATAACCTGATCAAGACGCTACCCCCTACCTCAGTGCCTAGTGACCTTGGAAGTAATTTCGTTCACCTCAATACTGTTATGCGGACTCCGCTGGGTGAAAGCATCCCCATGTCACTCCACTATCGACTACGGTGCAAAAGACACTTTTATGGACAAGGCTGTGGTGTGTTCTGCCACGGACAACGGGGGACACATGGTAACTATGAATGTGATCCAAACACGGGACATATTGTTTGTCTGGATGGATGGAGAGGCGATCGTTGCACTGAAGGTGAGTTGGAATCAGTAGCTGTACCACAGAGAACTCATGCCTCAAACTTTGTTTTTATCCATTTTTGAGAAAGTCACGTGAAGTGGACGACTAAACCTATTCCTCAACTTAGAGACTGTCTCTTCTAAGATGTACTTGATATTTACAAAAGACCTCGTGTTAAGAATCAGAAGCTGTTTTTGAGGGGACATCTCTTCAGTTCCGTTCAGTTCAGGTCAGTTCAGTTCGCTCTGGATCAGGTCAGGTCGGGTCAGGTCAGGTCAGGTGAGGTCAGGTCAGGTCAGGTCAGATCAGATCATAACAGATCAGGTCAGATCAGGTCGGGTCAGGTCAGTTTTTCTGCCTAAAACTTCACAGCGAAGTGCACTGGTTCCGACTTCCACGCCTTCCCTTAATGACGATTAGGAGAATAAGGGAATGAGAGCCAGAGTGATATAGATGGTTGTCCAATCAGTTTATTGACGTAGGATGTCTCTGTTTGTCCGATATAGTAGGGACTGAGAGCCACTCAGTAAAGGTGATAGCTTTGATGTTAGAATTCCATTTGCTGCGTGGTGCGGCCACACCTGTCAGTGATAGTAGCCACCAGATTGTGTCATCTGGTGGGTCACAGCAGGGGAGGCGGTAGTTACTAAGCTACCCGCCAAGTGATTTGACTGGTAAGGAAAGTTATGCCTCGTCGCCAAGACGCTGACGTTCGAAAGGTTCCGGTATACAACCTACACCATCTAGCCTTTGTTACCTGTGGAGTGTAACTAAAAGGTCTTTCAGGAAAGATAAAGAACTGCTATTCCTGAAAATCATTTCTAGTTCCCCAACATTATTGACCTGACGTTACATTCAGACTCATGGAATGCTTCGGATGCACCAATGTTTAAACAGAGGACTTTCCAAGATCATTCACACACAGCCGTCATTTCCGTGATCTGGCCGAGGCTTTATACACTCCACTTTTGTCAGTCAAGGTGGTCTCACCTGGTTGCCACAGATTTCGGGGCTTGGCAGACACTGTCGTGGCCTTCCCGTTTCAGGAAGCCGTTTCATCTTTGAGTTCCTCCTTTTGAGTGCTGGGGAGATTCAGCTATGAAAACTGAACTTCCAAAACTCCCTGCATTAAAACGATGGACTTACGTTACTACAACCTGTAAGAAAGAATAACTATTCCCCATCCTGAGCTGGTTCCAGAAACGTATTTTTACCATGCTTCCACCACAGGTTTATATACGCCGAACACTGAGTCTCTGATTTATCTCCCAAAGTATAAGGATTCTGGTGAAGCTGCGTCGATATTTTTCAACTCAAACTCAATCAAGGCCTTTTATTCTCATTGTGGCTACCCAGATCGACCTACCGGAATTGGACACGCGGCGCTTTGGATATAAAATCCTGAGGATATTGAACACAGGATGACATACTCCCCGCAGCTTGGGAAATCGATTAAGGTGTGAAACGTGACCTTACCGCGTTTCATGGTGCAGTCAGTAAACATCCGATGGGAAATTTCCTTGGCTACTTGGGACGAATCTGTTTCCAGACCAGTGAATTGTTCACACTTGAATTAAACAAGTGTTAAGCCGATATTCCGAACCATCATCCTAGTTGAGTCGACTGGTGATCTTCCTCAAAGGGCAGGCAGATCGATTGGATAAGCGGACACTTCAGAATTTCGAACCACATTCCAACCAGGTGAGGTTGGTACGAATTAACCCAAATAGTCATGTCAGAACCGGTGAAACGGTTTACAGAGATTGAAATGGGTGCAACTGCGTAAATCCAGCGATAACTTGTTGGTAGGTAGGTTCGGAAGAACAAACACTACTTGACAAAAATGTCAACAGCTGAACTTGAGTTTATTTTAATTTATTAGTATGTATTTCTTATCGAAACAGAGTTCTCCGTTTTTCTTTGCTGGGTCTAACAGAACTGAAGGTTTTTCTCCACTTTTATGTGTATCATAGGGGAACATAGTGAAGGCATATGAAGCGTGGAATGGCTATTTTACTCAAAAATAGAAATGAATGACTGGACGACTTAAAATTTGCTATATATATATAATGTGCTTCGCCCGCAGAAATTGATTTTTTCTTTGTGCCATTTCTTTGTAGCCATATGTGAGATTCCTTGTGAACATGGAACATGTCAAGAACCGAATTATTGCAGGTGACTATACCTACCAGTATTGAATATCCCTCTGTTTCTGCACTTCCTGTTTGAACGAGAATGCATTCCAGTTCAGCCTTCTTTGAGTTTGTCATTGTGAACTTGATTAATAGCAACTGATAGTTTGTACACTTTGATCAATACAGTTCCAGGTTGTACTTCGTCGAACACGGCAGTGCACGCAGGTTGAGGTATGCGTGGAGTAGGGATACTTACTTTCACCTGAAGACAATTTCCTATGTGAATGGAACAAATGAGTGCGCGGGAAGCATACCTTTATTCATCAAAGTGATGAGTGTATAAATTGACAAAGGTCCTCTCTTTATTATGCATTTTTAACTTAACCTAACTATCTAATGAACCTTAACCGATGAAGCCAAGTAGATCGTGGAATACTGATGACTTTCTGGCCGTCTTTAGACACAAAAAACTGGCGGCTTTAGCCAGTTTTAGAGCAAAAATTTACTGACCAGAAGATCCGTGGTCCAAACCCAACCTCGTCCTCTCGACTTTCCCTGTGTAGGGTTGGGCAACCTCCCAGCCCTCGTGATTCCTTCGGGTGGCGTGGCAATTAGGCACCGAATGGGTGCTACAACTGAACGATTTTTTAATATAGGCACTTCAAAGGGAAGTACCCGTTCCTCCAACCGGTGTCTAATACTCAAGGTCGTTTATTGAACTCGTGAGTAGGACCATACGATTGTGCTCCAGGCGAGACGAAGCAGACAATGGGCTGTTGACAGTGTGATAAATCGAGTATGCATCATCGATATGATGTGAAGCTGGTTTTATTCAGCTGTTGAATTTTGCACACGATCTGACTGTTTTTCCCAGTTGAGTATTTTTTGTCATTTGTAGTGTAGTTGAAACGTCTAACTTGATACCCACAGAAGTCCTGAAAGCCATCAATGCTTTTTCTTGGTAGTTGATGAGGTACCCGTAACGAGAATGTCATTGGGGCCACTGAGCCAAGGGAGTCACTTGATGAGTCCCAGTAAAGATGAAAGAGTTCGTATGACCGATCTTTTTGAGATCCAGTTACGTCTGTAAAGGGAAAATCGATAACTTGAGTGTCGGTAGGGCATTTTTCACGCAGATTCGTTCGACAGCCATAAAAATGGAGACTTGTTAAGGCTTCAGAAGCGTCCTCTGTCAACTTTGCACCAATTCACATGCATACTTTGGCTTGTGGTGGTTAGATCAGTTTTCATGCTCACATCCGCACGTTAACCCTGGAAACATCTAGAAAGATAAACACTCACCTGAAATCACGTACCTTCTTTCTAAGTATTCATCATTGAAGGAATGAGTCAATCCTGGATCACGTGATTGAGACGGTTGGCTGAGAGCTGGGAGCACTATAACCAGTCGTGGACCAGTAGCATAGTGCCATTCTTTACCCTATTCATTATTTATTCGTTTACTTATTTATTTATTTTGCTAATTTTCCTCATTTACGTTTCAAACTAACCAACAATGATTAATTGGCTATACAGTGTTCATCTGAGTTTTGAGATAGATTGGTCTTTCTCGGTGACGGAGATTTTGATTAAGATTTAACATATTTTAGAACAAGATGTCCAACGGCCGAGTTCCTCATAGGTTATTAGACAATAATCAGCTAGGAATTTTGTGAGGAAAAGTTCTTTTGTTGAAATCATCTTCTGTGAACTCAAAGTAGCAGGATGTCAAAAAATTTGGACAGATGACCTATCAGTAAACGTAGCGTCAACAAACTAATTGGTTTAATTTTTTGAGGTAAAATCTTAGCCCAGAATCAAATTTACTGATTGCTTTCCAACATCTTTCAAAGTGACACTCTCCTTTTGCAGGCATTTCCCACCAGATTTTTCGTTCAATGCCTAGCCGCCGAAAAAATACTAAAGCGTGATTGTGTAAAAGGATCGAGTCCTTCGCTTTTTACCGCAGACTGGTCTTCAGTGGAGTAATAATCGATCACCTTCCTAATATCACCTCTATGCGAAGAAGGACTAGCCAGGGATTCATGACTGTTTGCAGCAGGTGTTTGTCAGCAACCACCTGAAACCTGGCAGTTAGGTATTAGCTCATTCGTTGCACTCGGGGGCTTCGCCTTAGCTCACATTGCGAGTCGATTGTCACAAAGGTCCTTAAATTAGACAATTAGCAGCTCAAATGTTCAGACTTAAGAGAACAATCCAATTGGGTACACGGGGCCTCTCTTGACCAATCGGAACCACTAGGAATATATGGAAACTGGCTGCCTCATAGACTTCAATTAACGAATAAGCATGGCACCAGTGAAGTTGTCTATGAAAAGTACAAAACACTGACCGAAGCAAGCCAAGCAGTCACGTGACTAGTACAAGTTGAATTGTTTGCTAAGTCCATGAAGTGTGCCCGGACTAACGAGGATACTACTTAAAAACGAATGCCATCATTGAAGGTGTCATAGGACCAAGAATAGGGAGAAGTTTGATGAAAAAACACCTTCGCTTAGGTTTTAAAGGAAGTATAACTGAATATACACTCATTTGCAAACTAATTTGGTTTTTTGAGAGACTCACCTGGAACCCAGCTGAATCTCTCGTTTTTGATGCTTCCAGGCAACTGAATGTGCCTCACCAGGCTGCCTCATTTTTCGATCGATACGATATTCGAGATGTCGGGATACATATGTATTTTGTAATGCACTACTCATAAGGTCGCAGAGTTTTCAGCAACCTAATGAATAGTGCATTACGAAGTATAACTGAGTCGAAGTTACAAAGGGACAGTAAAACCAAAGTACAAACATTTAGCCGAGATAGTCGAGCCAATGGGACGTGAGGATTGAACCGAAAAATTAAATTTGTTGGGGGGGGGCGGGGCTTAAAATACCGAGAAGTACACGATGTGCAAGGTAAGCAACTTAGAAACAACCGTCATTTTCACGGCAGTATTTTATTCCTCAAGTTCTCGCAGTCATTAACGACTGATAATCCGGTGGGATCGATAGTATTGGAGATCTAGTTGACACCAGACCTGCTTTTGTCAATTGTGTGAACCTCTTTGTTCTGTTGTCAGGCCTTACCAGGATGAAATGGCTGAAAACCGCGAAGGAGTCTGCTTCAGCGAATTCCTCAGCTAAATTTGAGGCTTGTGTGAATCTGGGTTTTCTCACGTGAAACCATTTACTGCGCAGCCATTTCTCTCAAACAAGCTGTGAACTATCGCAGAAACCAGAAAGAGCTAACTTTAGTTCAATAGTCAGATTACCGGGACTTCCTCTGCCATTAAACATTCGATGATTTAACAATTGGCCTCAAGTGTAAAACGTTTTACACCTCCATCCTCTACTTGTATTGATCACTGAGTTCTAATAACCCTCATCCCTTTTTCAGGTGTGACTCCGGTTGGTACGGAAAGTCATGTGAAAAGTGTCACGTTTATCCAGGTTGTGTTCATGGAACATGCGAGCGCAATCGGACGACCCACAGTCTGATGGTTTTCACTTGTAGCTGCGAACCAGGATGGGGAGGAATGCTTTGTGATATTGGTGAGTGAAATCTTTCGGCAAAAGCTGGGAATTAATTCCTCAAAAAATGATCGACCTGCTGACACACCAATGTAAACTTCAAATTTGAGCTACTTATGACGAACTGTTACACAATAGATTGGATATGATAGAACGTGACTCAAGCGCACATTCGAATTTTTAGCTTGAATGCCAGCTCAGCAAAGCGTTCTCATATCAGGTGCCTTGTGGCATTGTTAAGAGTTCCACAGGGTTCAGTCAAGTCTGTTTGATTCAAAGGCCTTCATTCATTCCATGGATAACTTCACTAGAAATCTGAAACTTTCTTCTGAAAAGTTGTCACTCGAGGAGCCGGTCAATAAGTGGCCACGTGATATGTTTCGGACACACTGAAGGGTGAGTGGTGCTATGTTCCATCCAAGTGAGAGTTAATCACACCGCTCAGCAGCCGCTCATGACCAAATGATTGTGTTTCATTCCGGAAGGTTACTGGATAAAAAATTTGATTTTTTTAGATGAACACCACTGCTGATTCCCAACAAGCATGAGGCATCTGTACAGAAGCATATCTATTTGAAAATTGCATATTTCTCTCGGTACAACCATTCGGAAGGTAAAAACTGACTGCACTGCTCTGTCTCCTTCCTGGGAAAGTGAGGTTTGGAGCATAAACAGGTTCCACGTAATTCCATTAGACGTAATCCCATGATGGATTGCTATTTGTGTAAGAAACTATGGAAAATGTTCCAATAAAGCAGAAGAGGTACGGCTGAGGGTGTGGTATCTCATTCCGTACCACATAAAACATGGTACGCACCAAACAAGTATTTCATCCCTGTCTATTCAAGGTCAAGTCTCTTCTTCAAGGTCATTTTTCCGAAAAATATGTACAAATTACCAAATACTTATGTCTTCACACCATTTATTGTTTGCTGAAGCTGTTTGAAAACGGTATCTGTCAAGAGTAACTGTCTAAAAAAGAGAGTCCTGAAGGCACAGTCATCTGTGAGGAGCACCAGCCTTACAGAAATATCGATGGTGACACGCCCTAGATGATTACCAGTTTTTTTCTTACTATTAGGGGAACCAGCTCCGAACGTAACGGTACTACATAACTGCCAATGGAATAACCGTTTTTCGCTGAGACAGATTTCATTGGTTGTTCTCCATTCGCCCTTGACAGATGAGTTGTATTCCTAGGATCACTTTCTTGACCCGCTTGTATGCGACAGTGATCAATAGAGCGACTGCCTCGCACGTTCATTGGCTTTTCTGGTTTGGCCGAGCGCACCAGGATATCAATCGGCTATCCAGACAGGGGATTACGGTAGTAAGAAGGTATTAAGGAGATTGTGGTCCACAGCAGTTACTATGATGTTTAAGTGTCTAGATCAAAGCCATGAATATGAATTTTGAATTAGATCTAGACACGAAACTGTTCCGCCGTTTTAATCTCGTGTCTGGGAGGAATCAAGCGAATTCCTAATTCCCAAGCACACGCCCCTCAAAATCATTTTTGTAATAACGAAACGTCTGTTTGTTTCATAACCAAAGGATTATTCCCTGCGTAACTACAAGAAGAAAGTTTAGATTGGTTTTCGGATAGGTCTGACTCACCTAGAATGTCTGCTAGCAGGTTAATGGGTCCAACATCACTCAGCCCCACATCTCGTCTTTCGTCGAGTTAATCACACTGCAGACCAGCTAGTCTTCGCCCGCCGTGGAAGTGCACAAACGCTAAACGAAAGGTCCGGATTTCCAGTCACTCTGAAGCTTCCAAAAGAGAATACGTGTACCCAGTCTTAATGACTTTGGTGTAGAATAGCTACTTGCAAAAAGCGAAGTCTGTCGGAGAAAGGATAATATCATAGTCCCGGTTCGAACACCTCGACGTAACCAAAACCATGGTCTACACGCTATATGGGGTCAGAAATGGAATTCAGTCTGTTTTCGAGTGTGCCCAGCTAAGCCTTGGTTCAACTTTCCAAGTACAAGCTTGAACGCACCAAATAAGTTTTGCCGGATTAGAGAACCAGTCGGAACGATCGACAAATCATCTTCGTTGATTGACACGCACATATGTCATCACATGTAACATGGAGATTGGCCGTAAATTAAAAGCGTTGTATGTCCAACTAGCAAACAGTTTTACCCATTTTGTTTTTGCAAGGCGAAACTCCCCTCCACCCATTGACAAGTTGGTTTATGTTTGAACGTTGCGCGGTCTTCCCAGATCGGTTGTCTCATCGCTTTCCAGATTTGAACTTTTGCTCGAGGCATCCGGGAATCTGTCAGAATGGTGGACAGTGTGTGAACAACCAGCGACACACGGACGGATTTCACCACTGCCACTGTCGTCAAGGTTACAAGGGTAAACACTGCGAATTGCGAGAAGTTGACTGTCGGACACAGGGATGCAATGGAGCTGGACGATGTGTGAAACAACAAGATTACAAGGTAGATTATGATTCGTCTTTTTAAAATAAATAGTATCCATTGCATGAGTATCTGCAGACTCGTTTGTCGAACACTCTTGACCTCGGTACTTCATCGATTAGTTGATGCAATGGTTAAAGTGCACGGAATTTGTACTTGAAGAAACCCATTGACATTCTTGAGTGTCATAGTCTGATTTTCGTTCGGCTAGTTGTTTAAACTTACTCCTGCGCCATATCTAAGAGTGCAGAGATCATAAACTAAGAACCTCTTAGAAGATGGAGGCTGACGGTTGCTCGTAGAATTGAAGAATGGTACCAGAATGTCGGCGGGAGAACGTGTTATAGAAGGCCTTAAACATTATAAAGGCACCGAAGTTTCTATTGTTATCACCTCCCATAATGTCATCACAAATTTTAATCTGTTGAGCAACCTTCAGGGATAATTCATAGTTAAAGCATTCTGGGACATTCGAAAAGTACACGCCTTTACTTTTGACCATTTGTGGTCAAATCATAAGAGCAGTTTTTATCAACCGCTAGCGTATGAAAAATAATCACCAGCAAGGCCCTCTTGAGCACTGTGCACCGATCGGTCAAAGGATACTTAAAAGATTTCCAGGTTGTGACGCCAACTTCAAAAGTCCTAGGCCTGCCTACCTGACAAACTGGTGAGTTTTCGCGTCCTGTAAATAAAGCTATTTTATGATAAATAGCCAAGGAACCATCAGCACGATAGGTAACCACGCGGTTTACAGTCTGGATACTCAAGTGTTCGGCCACGGACGGCTGTCAGCGGTGTTATTACCTCGTTGTATCCTGTCAACCGCTCGCAGCCGAACGGTTAGGCATTCAGATGACTAGGAGGGATGCTGTTTGTTAGAATCTCCCTGTAGTTTCGTGAGATGAACACCGATCGTTGAGAAGTACACTCATTTGCAAATCAATCTGGTTTTCACGAGAGACTCAGCTGAAACTTTCGTTTATGAAAATGTACTGAGATATCTCGAATATCATGCCAACTGAAACATGAGGAGGCCTGTGTGCAGCATAGTCAGTTGTAGAATATCATAAACGAGAGATTCAGTTGAGTCTCTTGTGAAAACCAAATTGATTTGAAAATAAGTGTATTTCTCGAAAACAGTCCAATTTGGGTTCAAGAAGAACAGCAGGTTGACGGAAACTCGGGGACTGGGCCTACCTGATGAGCCTCAAGAAGGGCGTGGGCTATCGAAAAGTTTTCAACAACCTTGTGAGTAGTTTGCTTTATGAGAACACTGATCATACTTCCGAATAGGGATAAAACAGCTATACAGTGCTTTTATTTCTCAGCATTTATTTACTTCACTTACAGAACGATATTTCAACTAAAAACGACCAGGTCTCGGGTGCCACCTTCTCACGAGTGTATGACTCTTAGGTGTGCAGGCGAAACGCCGAGCAGTTTGTTAGTCGAATGAGTCGCTCTGAGCCTGGTGGCTACACAAGCAAGGCATCCGAAGTCAACATAAATGCACAGATAAAATTCCTCGTCCTGACAAGTTTACTGGACATGTGTCGGGTCAGTTGCTCCCACTGCCAGTTTCTGATCGTCTGGACTGTGGTGAATCAAGATGACTGACCTGTAAACCACAGGTAAAACGAAACGACTTCTGTTGGCTTTTTTGGAAGAAACATGACTGCTATTTAAATTTCGCGAACTAAGCAAAGAAATCCAACACATTTGCTAAATAACAAGATGATACTGATTGCACTAGCACGGTGAAAAATGCCTGGACTTCCGGCATTTTGCAGAAATTTCAAGGACGACTTTAACGACATTTGTAGCAGCCATCCAGTAACGTATTAGGAGGTAACGGCCTACATGCAATCTTAAAGATTTCTACAAAAAATGTTTCTGAAAGCTCTTCGACAATCCAAGACCGGTTTTGCCCATCTTGGCTCTCATCAGACAGGCGCAGTCCCCGAGTTTCCGTCAGCCTTATGCTCTTCTTGAAATTGCACGGAANTTCTTCTTGAAACCCAATTGCATGAAATTAGCGAATATACAATCATTTGCAAACTAATTTGGTTTTTCGAGAGACCCACCTGGAACCCAGCTGAATCTCTCGGTTTTGCTGTTTCCACGCAATTGAATGTGCTGCACCAGGCCGCCTCACGTTTCAGTCGCTACGATATTCGAGATATCGCGCTACATATATATTTTGGAATAAACTTCTCATACGGTTGCTGAAATTTCCCGACAGTTCACAAACAATTTCGCCCTTCTTGTAGCTCATCAGGCAGGCGCAGCCCTCGAGTTTCCGTCAGCCTTATGTTCCACTTGAAACCGAATTGCACGCAATTGATGAACTACACTCAGTTGCTGAAAATTTGGTTTTGCGGGAGACTCACCTGGAACCCAGCCGAATCCCTCGTTTCTGATGTTTTCAAGTATAGTACGTCTACACACGTATCGCGATATCTCGAATATCGTACCAAATGAAACATGAGTCGGCCGAATTCAACACATTCAGTTGCCTGGAAACATAATAAACTAGGTAGTCAGCTGGTCTCCGCTAAACAAGAAATGTTTTAAAAATTAACCGAATTAGAGCATTCCTGCCGTACGTATAACATTATCTTCAA